ACCAATAACAGGACTGTGCCCTCAGAATTGATGTTGATTGGCAGTGCTATCATTCAGATAGGACATCAAAGTAATGGCCCTGTGGCCTGTTCCACGGTGTTCTCCAAGCAGATGTTAACAATTAAATGGGTCTTTTACTCCAGTATCCCTGGTAAGCTGTCCTGAATACCTTACATTGCTATTTCTTATCCAGTGAACAAACAAGCTTTTTTGTAGGTAGACTGCTATCTGGTTTATTAACTTAACACAATTTTAATTAGATTTGAACCAATGAACTATCTGATAGGACAGGGAATTTTCTTTTTCTGTTTGTTAATCAGACAATATTGGTCATTACGGAGGTGAATTAAATTCATGTGCATTCAATGGCTGATATAGAGGAATGAGTAAGATTCTACATTGAATCTTAGACATCTAGGGTTGGAAGGGACCTTGAGTCATCAAGTCCAGCCCCTGCTTTGTGGCAGGACAAAATAAACCTAGACTACCCCTGACAGGTACAACCTTTAAAAACCCTTCAGGGATAGCAATTCCACAGCTTCCGTTGGAAGCCTATTCTAATGGACTAGTCTAACAGTTATAAAGCTTTTCCTAATATCTATCCAAAATCTCCCTTGCTACAAAATAAGCTCATTATTTCTTATCCTTCCTTCAGGGGACATGGAGAACAATTAATCATTGTCTTCTTTGTAATAGACCTTAATATATTTGAAGTCTGTTATCAGGTCCCTTCTCAATCTTCTTTTCTCAAAATTAAACAGGTCCAGGTACTTTAAGCTTTCCTCGTAAGTCCGATTTTCTAAACCAGCGACAGTCAAGCGAGTTTGCTGCATGAGTGGCCTCTTTCATCTCAGTGGGGCTGCAAGGTTGTCATACCCAAGATAGTCTCCCTGGATCGGGCAGTTTTGATAACTATACTGGTGGACCTACAATGAGCAAGGACCGCCAACTGTAGCAGTACTTTGATTGGACACTGAGAGAGCGCACATTTCTCACCGTCCATGCGGTGTGCAATCAGCATGCACCTTGCTTCACAAGGGCTGGCTTTATGTGTGTGTCCCCTTAGTAATACCAACGGGAAAAAAAATGGACATGGAAAGAAACCCGTGTTATCTGGCAACCCTGTGCATGAACAATGGTGAACAAAATGTCTCATGGGCCACAGACAGAACCCTGATGGGCTGCATGTGGCCACAGGTCGTTCACCACTGTTCTAAATGTTGTTCTGCTCTGGACTCTGCAGTTTGTCTGGAGTTTCCCTGAAGTGTGTGAGCCGGCTTTGGACACACTGCTCCAGCAGTGCTCTTCAGTGCTGAGGTGACCGGGACATCGATCGCCCTGGTCTTACTTATGGCACTCCTGTTAGTACACCCTGGATTTTCTTTGCAGCTGGATCACATGGTTGAGTCATTCAATTTGTGATCCAGCATAGATCATTTTCAACAGTACTATCCTCTAGCCCAGAGGTGGGCAATCATTTTAGAAAGGGGGCCACTTTACAAATTTTTGAAGTGGCCCCAGGCTTCTCCATAAGGGGCGGGGCCTGGGGCATAAGGGGCAGGGCCAGGACACTTTCATGCTCCCCTTCCCACAGACCCTGATTGGCCTGGGGGCGAAGGGAGCGCGCGGTGCCTAGAGTGAATAGCCAGCTGTTCAGAACAGCTGGTGATTCACTGCAAGTGCTGCTTGCCCCTTGCAGGTGGGAGGAGACTTTGCATACTCCCATTGCCCTCAAGCCAATCAGGGCCTGGGGGCATGGGAGCGCGTGAATTCTCTTGTCTCCTGTCCCCACCCTCCAAGGGGTGCATGGCACCAAGAGTGAAGTGCCAGCTGTTCATAACAGCTGGCAGTTCACTCTAGGCACCATGTGTCCCTGGCGGGGGGAGTAGACTCCACATGCTTCCCCGTCCCCAGGTCTCGATTGGCCTGGGGACAGGGGAGTGGCAGGGCAGCCCGAGGCTGGATCAACCATCTTGGTGGGCCAGATCCAACCCACAGAGGCTCTCTTGCCCACCCCAATCTAGCCAGATAATCCCTATTCTGTACTTGTGCATTTCACTTTTTTCCTTCCCAAGGAAAGCGCTATGCTTTGGTCTTTATTGAATTTCATACTGCTGAATTCAGACCAATTTTCCAATTTGTCAAGATCATTTTTGAATCCTCCAAGCCCCCTCCTTGCTTGGGGCCATCTGCAGATTCTATAATTTCACTCTCCAATCCATTATCCAAATCACAAATGAAAATATTGCATAGTAGTAAATCCAGGAATAGTGCCTGCAGATCCTGCCTGGATACACTGTCCAAGTGGAACAATACACAATTGGCAACTACTCTCTCAATACGGTCTTACAATCAGTTGTGCAGCCACTTTACAATAATTTAATCCAGACCACATTTCCCTAGTTTTCTTATGAGACTATCATGTGAGATTATGTCAAAAGCCTAACTAAAATCAAGATACACCACATCTACTGCTTCCTCCCAATCTCCTAGGCCACTTAGCCTGTTGAAGAAAGTTAAATTAGTTTGGCTTGATTTGTTCTTGACAAATCCATGCTTACTTTTCCTCCAGTTTCCTCCAGGTGCTTACAAACTGATTGTTTTACCAATCTCATAACACATCTCCCAATAGAGAGCCTCAATTTTATCATTGAACACCAAGGCCTTCCCCGCCAATCCAAACAAAGGGCACGCCAAATGTCATGCACTGAAACACACCCCAGAAATCAAAGCAAAGGACACACCATTTTTGAAATACTGAAATATCCTCTACCAATCAAAGCAAAGGAAACACCAGAATCTCCCACTCTGAAGTTGATGGGAATGCAGTACTGGGCAGAGTTAAGGCTGTTGAAGGGATGTGAACTTTGGTTTTATGAAACATCAGCATGGCTAGAATTTCTAAGGGTTGATATTTTGGGGAACACTAGTGTGGTCTTTTAAATTCTTTAGCTTTTAATTACCGATACAATTTTATCCACCCCCTACATGTGACATTCCACTGTGTAATAAATGTCGTGGAAAACATCTGACTGAGCTTAGTTCATTTTAATGCTTTAACTGAGTCTGTCCTTTGCAGGTCTGTGATGGGTTCCAGTAAAGAGCCAGATCTTGTGCACCTGGAAGCAAAGACAGTGGATGGCCGTAAGTACATTAGGTTACCAGTATTTATGATTGCCAGCTCTGTCATGCTCTGGGCTGGCCTGCCTTTCTGATGGCAACATGCTACAGTGGAAAAGACTTTATTTCTCTTCTTTGTTGAGTCTTTCCCGAGCAGGGTTTTCAGGGCAGAGTAGCAGCTCCTCAGCTACCTGAAAAGATTGTATTAAGAGACTATGGAAGGAGCTAATTTGCAAGTGGGTGGATTCCCATGGGTTGTTCAGTCTTTGAAGGCAGTCTGTAAAAGAATCCTCTCTTCTCCAGTTTATCCCTGTGCCTGCTCCTTCCTTGTCATCTTTCTTTGCTCTTGTGGCCAATGTTCCTTTTGCTTACCTCTCCAGACACCTTCCTCCAGCTCTCCTTGTTTCACAGGTCCACTCGTACCTCTGCTGGGCTTTTCTCTGCTTCCATGCTGCCTGCTGTTCAGTCTTTCCGCTTCCTCACCTCTGCAGGACTTTTCCCGTGGCTTGTTTCCGACAGCTTTCAATTGCCTCAGGCAGTTGTGTGCCTCCCAAAAACCACCCGGTGGCCCTGGATGTTCTCATTTTTAATTCCGCGATGGCTCTCTTGCAAATGTCAACTTTGCTGCAGTGTAAATAATAGATTTGCACCATTTGCAGAAATATTGGTTTTTTTGTTTTTATGACATAGTTAATTAACTTCTGGAAAAATCCCTCTGGGTCAAATTCTGCTCTCAGTTATGCAGCCACTGTCAGTGGTGTTTCTCCAAATTTATGACAGCAAGATTTAGCCCAGCTACTACCAGGGAGGGAGCCTTCTCAAAACTACTTTTTCTTTAATTTGCTTAGTGTTACGTGTAGGAAATTATTCTTCAGAAGATGAATTTTAAAAGGACGCCACTGGAATAGAAATTATGCACATCATTAATATCCTTTCCATTTAACAACACATTTGATTATTAAAACTGAAAGAACTGTAAATATCTCAGTCCTTTTCTACCATTTATTACTTTTTTTAACTTTTGTATTCCCTAGACACAGAAAGAACACGGATCCATCCAACCTGATGGGAATAATAAATAGTAATAAAATATTCAATTAAGATTACCTTTAATGGAGCTGCTACACTGCTGTATTGTGCTTTGGACTGTATAATATGGTAGTAAGTGTTTATAAAGGGCTACTCCCTTGTAGTGACACTTTAGGGTGTATTCACTTCATGGAATATCAGATATATCCTGGAATCAAAACTCCAACTCCTCTTTTCTCCTGCTTCAATTCAAGCTCTTCTGATATTTGAAAAAAATAATTTTTTACATTTATAAAGGATTTTTCTTCTAGGGACCTCAAAGTGTTTTACAAAAGTAATAAGCATTATTATTCCCATTTTACAGCTGAGGAAACTGAGGTACGGATAGGTAAAGTGACTTTCTCAGTCACATGCTTAGTCATTATCGTTGAGAATAGAACACAGGGTGCTTAAATATCAAATGCCTGTTTTAATTGCTTGAACCTTCCCTCAGTTGGTAAGCAAACCTTTCTCCATTAGGGGGAGATTAGCAAGGCGCTATAGCAGGCAAGGCGAGGGCAGGTTTAATAAAATGCTTTTTTTCAGGCCTAGCAAGGCGCTGTAGCAGGCAAGGTGAGGGAAGGTTTAATAAAATGCTTTTTTTCAGGCTCAGTCCAAGAGTTACAGTTTGTGAACCTTTTCTTTAATCTTTTTCAAGGGCTGCATGCTTGGGAACTAACCAAGGGTGAAAATTCAATAAAAGGATTTAATTTGAAAAGATATTCCCTGTCAAAACAAAAGTAGAAAAAATCACACAGCAGTTGAAACTCAGGAACTAAGCAAAAGCACCCAATCTCAATGCAAATAACGAGATAGTTTTATTCTCGTGCCTTGTATCTTTTCCAGCAGAAGCTCAGCAGTACATTAGCCATGGCTTCAGGTGAGAGAGAATAGAGATGTCACCGTAGTCAGATATTAGAAATTGTAGCTGGCCGGGTTGTGAGAGCATTTATCATCATCGGACTTAATCCTGGGCATTCCCAGCTGGAATACTAATAACTTATTGTGCCTCTGCTTTCTGGTCCCTGATCATGGTCTGTCCTCATATTTTAATATGTTGTATTTCTACACATAATGCTAAAAGATTTACACAGGAAAAAATAACGGTCCCTCAGTTTGTATAAATCTATACAGTTTCCCTGGCTTCAGTGGATCTATGCCCAGTTACAGCAACTGAGGATCTGGCCTTTCAGTTGTACGATTGATGCTAGTGCTCAAACTGGAGTCCTCGAAAAGGGCTTGGTAGGGGGTTAATTCAGTATGGGAGTTCTACAGCAGGTTCATCATTATACAGCGTTAACTGATGTGATTTAAGTTTTCAACACTCTTGCTTAATTTCTGTAGAATGCCACATGTAGCAGAATTTGATCTCCAGTATAAAATGCGAGTATGTAGAAAGTGATGTTTACATTTAGTAGTTTCTCTTAGGCCAGGTCTACACTAGACCTAAAAGGTCGGCTTAAGGTACACAACTCCAGCTACGTAAATAACCTAACTGGATTCGACATACCGTAAGCTGAGCTTGGCTCCATACTCACAGTGGGAGGTTGATGGGAGCAAACACTCCCGTTGGCTTCCCTTATCCCTCACGACTGCGAGGAGCACAGGACTACAGCAAGAGCTGCCCTCAGCAGTTGATTTATGGGGCTAGTCTAGACCCTCTAAATCAAATGCCAGAACGCCGATCTCCGACGCGGCATGTGAAGACGTACCCTTAAAGTCTAGTCTGGGACAAATTCTAATTAAGATCCAAATGGCAATCACTGTGTTTTCAGCTGAAAGAAAGTCATCTGAGTCTTATGTTATTTCTCTACTCTCATGGCATTTGGTCCCTGGGGTTCTACTCTGAGTTTTGAATAAAATCAGGACCTGACCCCCCCCCCCCCAAAAAAAGTCAGCAGAAATAATGGATTTTTGCCTGGTTTCTGGTCAGCACTGTAAAGAAGCAGTTAATTTCATGAGGCTCTGAACCACACCATAAGTCCTTTTCTGTATCCAGAGGGCAAGGAGTATACTGTTAGAAACTTGAGCCAAATTAGATCAAAACTTAATCAAAATCCCCTTGAAAGGTCTATAAATTATTGAGAACCCTCACTGGGCATTAGGTTTATGGAAAAAATATGTGAATGTTGTACCTAATAGCTTGTACAGCTCTCATTAGTGACAATTAGACAATCAAAGCTTGAAACATGCTAAGATGTCTTAATACTGTGCCCTTAAGAATTGACTGGTTACAGGCCTGATTTAAGGTCCACTGGATTAAATTTTCTGTTCAGCCACAGATAGTCCTGTACAACCACGGACAAGTCATTTGATGTCTCTTGGTCTCAGTTCCCCATTAACAAAACAGGGGTATAGCATGGTTCACAGGCATGTTGTGAGCATAAATATATTAAGGAGTGTGAGGTGCTCAGATACTTCATTGGGGGGACCTTAGATATAATCTAAAGATTTGGCAACAGTTTAATTATATTAAAGTTGGGGGGGAGGGTCTTTAAATTAGGAATGTTTCACTGGAGGCTGCAACTTAACTTGAGTACAAACCCTCTGCACAGTTAAAACTGGGATTCATACCCAAAATCTACACCTTTCATCCCTCTGGGTCATTTAATATAAACAGCTTAATTTACATACTGTGTGTTCTGCTTTGCATGAGAGGTAAATAGCTGTGAGTCAGGAGGCCTGGGTCCTTTGTCCAGATGCTCCATTTGTTTCCTGCCTGAAGTTGGGCAAGGCAAGTGAGAGCAAAATTTTCAAAAGCAAATGAAAAATGCTGCACTTTCGCAGTGTCAACTCCAGTTAGTACAGGTAAGTATAATTCCTGTAACAAAATATCATTGACCAGTAGGTAGTTCAAAAGATGAATGCCCACATTAGATTAGGTTGCTATCACAGCACCTGAAGGCAATTGAATAAATGGAACATCTAGACTATGGATCTGCTGCTCAGAAGGGAGCAGGAAACTACTTTGTTATCACATAAAAATTCACAATTTTATGTATATGTGTGTGTGTGTGTGTGTGTGTGTGTGTGTACGAAATCTTCCTTTTTTTATAGAAGCAAGCAACCACGCAAATCCACACATTTGAAATGCTTTCTTTAAATGATTATTCATTTATTTACTATGCTTAGCTTAAATTTCAAAACAAAAAGTTGTTTTGAACTGGAGTTTTTCATTTAGAAAATGTCAGAACATTTCAAGAATTTTGAAACCTTTTTTTCAAAAAACGTGCGAGTAAAAAAGAAATTGTCAAAAACAACTCTTGCCTCAAAACTTCATGGAAACTATTTTAAAACATCATAATCAGGCTCGTATTAAATGTATACCACTTCCCTCTTACTGCTGTTCTCCCTCCCCATCCAAAGCCCACCCCTCCTACATCTGCTAGAAGACCAAATATAAGCCATCCTGGGTAAAACACAGAGGTAAAGAGGTGATTGGATGTTAATAGGCACCCCTTAAAAATTGGAAGTCAAATTCTACTAAGGAATATGAAAAGGGACATAAACTCTTGTAAGTCAAATTTGAAAGTATAATTAGATAGGCCAAAAGGGAATTTGAATAGCAAAAGGCACAAAAACTAACAGCAAAAACTATTTTAACTACATCAGAAGTAGGAAGCCTGCCAACAATCAGTGGGGCCAATTGATATGATTGAGTTGCTAAAGGAGAACTCAAGGATGATAAGGCCATTGTAGAGAAACTAAATGAATTCTTTGCTTCAGTCTTGGCTCCAGAAAATGCAAGGGAGATACCCCAATCCGGTGCCCTTCTTTTTAGGTGACAAATCTGTGAAAATATTTAAAGTGCCTATAGGGGAGGTTTTAGGGCAAATTGATAACACTGATCTGGAGAAGGGGTGAAGATACCCCAATCCGGTGCCCTTCGTTTTAGGTGACAAATCTGTGAAACTATTTAAAGTGCCAATAGGGGAGGTTTTAGGGCAAGTTGATAA